AAATCCCTGGGCTCCATGAACAAGACATAATAGCTCAATGGGCAATTACTCAGCCATAAGAAAGAATGAAATAATGCCATTTGCAGCAACATGGATAGACCTAGAGAATATCGTACTGAGTGAAGTAAGTCAGACAAAGACAAATACCATATAATACCACTTATATGTGGAATCTGAAAAAAATGATACAAATGAACTTATTTACAAAACAGAAATAGACTCATAGGTATAGAAAACAAATTTATCTAGTGGAAGGGGGGAGATAAATTAAGAGTGTGGGATTAACATTTGCACACTACTGTATAGAAAAGTTTTTTTTCAAAAAGCAAGGTTGTACTGCATAACACAGGAAACTATACTTAGTATCTTCTAATAACCTATAATAGAAAGGAATCTGAAAACATATGTGTGTGTGTCTGTATGTGTGTATCAGTGAATCGATTTGCTAGACACCTGAACTAACACAACATTGTAAATCAAATATACTCTCTGCTGTGCTGAGTAGCTCAGTGGTGTCTGACTTTTTGTGACCCCAGAGACTACAGCCCGCCAGGCTCCTCTGTCCATGGGATTCTCTAGGCAAGAATACTCGAGTGGGTTGCCATTTCCTACACCAGGGGATCTTCTCAACCGAGGGATCAAACCCATGGCTCCTGAAGCTCCTGCATTGGCAGGCAGATTTTTTACCACTGAGCCACCTGGGAAGCCTTGTATATAATATATGTGCATATATATATGTATGTACATATATATGTGTATATGTAGTATATATATATGAACCCATGAAAAAGAAATGCCAACCCACTCCAATATCCTTGCCAGGGAAATCCCAGGGACAGAGCACGTTGGCAGGCTACAGTCCATGGAGTCCCAAAAGAGCTGAATACAACTTAATGATTAAACAATAGCAATATATGTATGTATAACTGAATCACTTTGCTGTACACTTGAAACTAATGCAGCATTGTAAGTCAACTATCCTTCAATTAAAAAAAAAAAGGTGTCTGAGTGCAGACATCCCTGCCTGTGCCCGCATAAGCCCCCGGGGAAGACGCCCCTTTCTCAGTTAGGAGCCATATATGCCTTCAGTCTTTAGAGACATTAAGGCTTTGGCCAGCACCACACAGTGCTATAGCCACTAACTATATATGGCTAATTAAAGTGAAATAAAATTAAAAATTCAATTAATTCCTCAGTGACAATAGGTGCTTTTTTTTTTAGCCGAGCCACATAGCGGATCTTTGTTCCCCACCAAGGGATTGAACCTATGACCCCTGCAGTGGAAGCACAGAGTCTTAACCGCTGGATGACAAGGGAAGTCCCTAAGTACATTTCAAGTATTCGGTTGCCTTGTGTGGTCCGTGGCTAAAATACCAAAAACGCAAGCAGACGTGGAATGTTTCCATTGACTCAGAAAGTTCTCCTAGACCGTGCTGACTTAGAGGAATCTTGACTGTTTTAGAAAGAACTAGCATTTTCCTTTCTCTGTTTCTGTCTGATCAGCCTACAGACACATCAGTAGTCAAAGCAGTAGCAGACGCCACAGGCTAAGTGCTGTGAGCCTTACCTCCTGTAATTGTTGCAGTAACCCCGGGAACTGGGTTTTATTATTAACCCTATTTTAGAGATGAGTATACTGAAAAATAGAAAGCTTAAGTGGCCAAAATATCCAAAGTCACACAGCTTACAACCAGCAAAGCTGAGAGTTGAACCCAGCTCCACCCAATCCACAGCCCATGGATCCCACTGCCCATACAAACCTAGCAAACAGACACATCCCAGGCTAAGCAAATTCCTGGCAATAAACTGCTCATCTTCCTCAGAGCTGACTTTTACTGAAAACCTGGGGCCGGGAGTGGGAATTCAGAATCGACGTAAATCTACTCCTGATTTTGTCCCTGGATGCAGAGAGGCAAAATAACTTCTTGTCAGATGCTGAAGGCTGTTCCCTGTGGTCCCATGTTAAAAATATTCTTGTTTTAAATTGGAGGGTAATTGCTTTCCAATGTTGTGTTGGCTTCTGCTGTACAATAAAGCAAATCATACCCCTCCTTCTTGAGCCTCCCTCCCATCCACCCCATCCCGCTCCTACGGGTCATCGCGGAGCACGGGGCCTGGGCTCCCTGTGTTACTCAGAAGCTTCCCATCAGCTCTCTCTCGTACGCACGGTGCTGTATATATGTCCATGCTGCTCTCTGCTATTCTTCCCACCCTCTCCTTCCCCTGCCATGTCCTCAAGACCATCCTCTACACCTGTATCTCTATTCCTGCCAGGCTAACAGGCTCATCAGTACCATTTTCTAGATTCCATAGATATGTGTTAACATATAACATTTGCTTTTCTCTTTCTAACTGACTTCACTCTGTATAACAGGCTCTAGTTTCGTTCACCTCATTACAGTTGTCTCAAATAAAAAGATTCTTCCCCGGCTCATCACAGGGCTCTTATATAAGTTTGTGTTGACAAAACACTTCAAATATATTATTTAAACAAAAGTGTTAAAGGCTTTTTTTTTTTTTAAAAAAGAGCAAAGATGATGATAAAAGCACGTCTCCCTGCAGATTCACACAAGACAAGCTGTGTGAGCCATTTAAGAGCCACCTGGGTAATCGGACCCTGTAATCTTTGTAAACTGGCCTCATTCGGTGAGAGATGCTGGATTCCTAGCTCTTTAGCCTCTGGCTTATCCTATGCATCCTGACTCGTTTTCCCAGTCTGTTTACAAAAAGGAAGGATCTGGGCCGAGCATCAGTCAGACCGAGTTTCAAATCCCAGCTCTGCTTTGTGTTTGCTGAGAAACCTTGGGAAATTAACATAACCTCTCTGGTCTCAGTTGTTGCATCTGTAAAATAGGGAGGCTTTTAATATCTGCTGAGAGGAATGAAATAACTTCTGTACTGGTACCTGGTACATTACCAACACTCAAACAGCGCTAAACTCCTCTCTTCTCTGCTGATTCCCCACTTATGGTCACATGACATCCTTGGAGCTGGAGTTTTAGCACTGAGAGGGGCTGTGTGACATTTAGAACATCTGTCTCCGCAGACAATGGCTCTGTTTATCACCACGTAGGTAAACCGCTGGCTTGGGAAATGTCTGTAATCAAGAACCACTCCTGCTGTGTTTTGGTGACATTTTTAAGAGAGTAAAACATGATGTTCCCTCTTACAACTGCAGACCTCTCCAAGCAAGATGAGCAGAAGTGGTTTCAGCATGGGCCACCAGGACACGGCCAGACAAAGCAAGGAGGGCCTTCTGGGTGGCTCTGTCCGAGCAGCCAGAGGGGCCACCTAGGGCCTTACACTCAGAACCTGGGCCCTGGCCCCTGAGTCATCCCAAATGACCGTCAGCACCAGGTTGGGAGCTGGGGGAATTTATGGAGCCAAGAGTCCCTGAAGCTGGGAACATAGGATGGAGAGCTGGATATGGCCAGCCTCCACACCTGGGACCAAAAGTGAGATGGACCACAGAGCAAGCCACATTGCCCAAAGTTGGGGAACAGACAGATGCCATCGAGTGAAATTGGGTGGGAGGGTTAGAGAGAGGCAGGCAGTTAGAAAGCAGGAGGGCAGAAGGATGGAGATGAGGTGGGGCCAGCTGGGAGGTCTGGATTTGATACAGTCAGTCCCGTCTCAGCCACGACGTCCCTCCAGCTCAGAGGATGGTCAGCCTGTCTAGCCAAGATAGCCTCTTCCTGACCCTATCTGAGTTCAAGGGCAGAGAGCCAGGAAAGCTTCATGGTTAGAGTCAGGAATAAGCCTGGGTTTGAACCCCAACTCCTTCAACCCTGACTGTGAGACTTAGGTGAGTGGTTTAACCTCTCTGAGCCTCAGTTTCCTCATCTGATAATGATTGCAAGGGTGGTGATGGTGGTAATGAACATGGTGATGGTCATGAAGATTCTGATGGGACGAAGGTGATGGTGGTGAGAAGGATGAGAATGATTTTGGCAATAATGGTGATAATGAAAATGATGATGTCAACATTGGTGTTGATGAGGGCACTTTTGATGGCTGTGGTGACAACAATGCTGATGCTGATAAGGAAAAGTTGGATGGTGATGTTAACAATCATAAGAATGATGGTGCTGATGATGGTGGTGATGATAAGTGAGGGTAATAGTAACAGCCTCCTCTTCAGAATAAACATGACGAATAGGCTGGAAAACCAACTCAATGAACATGAATTTGAGCAAACTCTGGGAGATAGTGGAAGACAAGGAAGCCTGGCATGCTACAATCCATGGGGGTCACAAAAAGTCAGACACAACTTAGCAACTGAACAACAGTGAGAGACTGCAATACCTTGAGTGACTTAGCTTCTGTCTCACTTATGCCATCTGTACAACAGTGACAAACATTCATACTGACCTCATCGGGTTGTCCCAAGGACTAAATTCAATAAAACATATAAGTGCTTGACACACCAGTAAGTTCTTAATCAACACTGACAGTATTAATAGTTTTTTTGTCGCTGTGTTCCCCTTATTTTCAGAATCATTCCTGTGTATCCTGGCCTGGTACCATTAGCCTTGTGATCAGTGCTCTAGTTGCCGTTGGTGTGACTCACCACCCTGGCCCACAGGACTGGTTTTCTGACCTGTCCCTCCTGCTTCCTGTATCTTCTACCATTAGGTTTCATGGATGCTAAGGTGTCCAGGGGTTCTGCATGGGATTCTGCTAGGAGACGGGCCTCCTGGCTTCCTAGATCAGGAAATCAGGGGCAGGGGAGGGAGAAACAAAGTCTATGTCACAGTCATCCTGAAACTGTCTCTGCACAACGGGTGTGTGCCAGCCGTGGGAGCCAAGTCAGTTGAGCTCACCTTCACGCTTGATCCTGCGAAGCGGCAGGCTGCGGCCCCAAAGCTCCTTGGGTACGTGGAGGGTCATGTGGGTGAATCCTGAGGGTTCGTCATGGACTCTGGGCTTTCAGACCAGGGCGACCAGCCGGTCACTCCAGATGTCGCGTCTTCCTCAACCTCTCCCGCCTTGCCTTTCAGAGACCTGGACGGCAAATCACATAAACCTCTGCCCCTCGGCGTGGAGAACGACCGAGTCTTCAATGATCTGTGGGGGAAGGGCAACATGCCCGTCGTCCTCAACAACCCGTACTCAGAGAAGGAGCAGGTAAGTGGCGGCGTCAGCCTGGTACCCACACTCCACGGTTCCCTGAATGTTCTTGGGAAGACAAGTGCCAAGCCACCTTGGGGAAAAAATCAGCCGTTATGGCTGGAGAAATGGCCTGGGGGCTGAGGCTAGCAGCACTTACCCTGGACTGTGGCTTTGGGCTTTGATTTTGTGGGTTTTCTTTGCTAGCTTGCCAGTTTTCAAATTTTCATTGTTTCTACCAGGAAAGATATTCACATGATTCTGAATTTAGAAGGTAAAAAAGATAGATGGTAAAAGCTTCTTCTCTCTTCCCACATCCCAGCCACATAGCTTCACTCCCCAGAGGCAAGCAGTATTCATTATTCATCATTGTTGTAGTCCTTTTAGCAATGTTTTATGCATAGACAAACAAATACATACACATTATTTTCATATGTTTGTATACAGATGAGAACACATCACACATACAGGCAAACCTCATGCTATTGCACTTCATTTTATTACATGCATTATTTGTGTGTGTATATGAATTGAAGGTTTGTGGCCACCCTGCGTTGAGCAAGTCTGTTGGTGCCATTTTTCCAATTGCATTATTTTTAAGCTAAAGTATGTGCATTTTTAGACACAAGGTTTTTGCACAGCATATAGACTACAGCATAAGAAGTACAGAATGGGCTTCCCATGTGGCGCTAGTGGTAAAGAACCCACCTGCCAATGCAGGAGATGTAAGATATGCAGGTTTGATCCTTGGGTTGGGAAGATCCCCTGGAGGAGGGTATGGCAACCTAGTCCAGTATTCTTGGCTGGAAAATCTCATGGACAGAGGAGCCTGGTGGGTTACAGTCCATAGGGTCACAGAGAGTCAGATACTACTGAAGCGACTTAAGATGCACACACACATAGTACAGTATAAAAATGCATGTAACCTTTATATGCACTGGGAAGCCAAAAAGCTCATGTGACTCACTTTATTGTGATATTTGCTGGATTACTGTTGGTCCAGAAATGAACCCACAATATCTCCACCATATGCCTGCACTGTTTTGTACCTTGTTCTTTCATTTATCAATGTGTCTTGGAGACTAGTCCTGATTAGTAGGTGAAGGGAGTGCTGGTTCTTTTTTCATGGCTGCATAATATTCCCTTTTATGGCTCTGCCATATTTATTGAACCAGGCCACCAAAATGAACACATGGCCCATCACCAATATTTTGCCACGACATCACTATAATGAATGACCTTGGGCAAATACCTCATTGGCAGATGGTGGGCTTCTCAAAAGAATAAATTCCTAGAAGCAGTTGTTGAGTCAAAGGTCATATACAGTTGTGACTTGGACAGAAACGGCCAGATTGCTCACCACAGAGGTTGCACCATACCTATCTGATAAGTAGGAGAATGACTATATCCCCCCAGCTTCGCCAGCTTGGAGTGTTACCAGACTTTTCAGTCTTTGCAATTTGCTGAGGAGGGTTTTAACAACAGAGTTAATATGGTTTCCTGAGAGTGTCTAGAGCTGGCTAGAGACTAGCAGAGCCTGTTTCTCACCTGCCCAGGCAGGTAACAGAGCAACCCTGGTGAAGCATGTGAATTTCCCACCCCTGCCCTGCACTGCAGCAAAGTACTACTGGAATGGCCATCTTCTTCCTTCCCTCCACCAACCTCAAGCCTTGGATGGCACAGGCCGGGTTGCCAAGCTCATTCTTTCAATGCTTAGTCTTTGGACAGCACTTTTCACCACCAACCCATGTAAGCAGTGACACATAGCCTCTGTACGTAGCCTCATGGGGGAGGATGGGACATTCCAGAGCGTCAGTGGAACTTGCTTTCCTTAGCTGCCAATGGCTGGCCAGGAAGAGAAGGACATCAGGGATCCAATAGTAGGTCAGACCCATGATGCCAGTGGCCAAGCACTCTGTCTCCTACAGTGACACCTAGGAATGTTTGGTGGACAAGGCACAATTTTAGTTTTCTATTATGCTGTCCTCAAAAATCCAGGTCATGTTGTGAGTGTGAGGACTATTGTTATCCATCAGTGATTAAGTGAACAAATAGAGCTTGAGTTTTCTTCATGTTTTCTCAATTGAAAGTAAAGGGTGTTGCCATAATGCAAACCCTCTCAAGACAAAGGAGGGCAGAGAGAGGCAGACTCAGGCCAAATCCAGGCTGTAGACATGATTTGTTGGGTTTGCACTATATTGTCCTATAGATAACTTATATTTATATTTTGAATTTATTGCCAGTGTTTCAATTTTTTATGTAACTATCATATTTGCAACTTCTATCACAAATATGAACAATCTGACCACATTGAGCATATATTCTTATGGGGAAATAGTCTGCCCAGACTGAGTAACCGCTGCCCCCACTACACAGGGCATGGGCTCTCCAGTTTGCCCCAATCCCCACCACTCTCCAGTATGCCCCTCTCATTACCACCAACTGTTCATTGTCATTTATCATAACATTAGCACTGTTGGTTTTCTCATAATAGTTAGGATATGGACCAAGAGATTCACACATTTCAGGGAAGATAAGAAAGATTTCATGTTTTGTAAGAATAAAGAATATTCTTTTGTGTTTGATATGCAACCAAGTGTTCTGTCTCAAGATTACCCAGCTGGCTTTACTGATTTGCCTTACCTACCTGCTCTAGGTATCAGAGTTTATCATCGCTGGCCTGCAGTAACTCCTAAGATCTGTGCTGTAGGGAAGAAGCAGAGGAGGCCTTGACCCCACCAGAAAGACCCTTAAAGTCCTGCTGAAATCTGAGCCATTGCAGTCTGATGACCATTTCCTTTCACCTTGGTCAGACAGTGACCAGTTGAAAAATATAACCTTGAACTTCAAGCCTGAGTAGTAGGGCTCAATACTGAGGACAGGACAGGGGGGTCAATAGGCCCAGGGACCTTTGTGGGGCATCATGATGAAATGATCAGTGTCTTAGTCTGTCTGGGCTGCTATAACAGAATACCATAGACTGGGTGGCTCATAAACAACAGAAATGTGTTTGTCACTGTTCTGGAGACTGGCACCGGTAGGTTTGACATTCGGTGCAGACCTGCTTCCTGGTTCATACACCGCTTTCTTATGACTGTGCTCTCACATGGCAGAAGAGCAAAGGATCTCTCTGCATCTCTTTTATAAGGGCACTAATCCCATTCATGAGTGTGCCAGCCTCATCACTTCATCATCTCCCAAAGGCCCCACCTCCACATACCATCACATAAAGGTTAGGTTTCAACTGATGAATTTGGTGGAAGGGGGGGACATAAACATTCAGTCCATAGCAATTAGGGGGAGGCGCTGAGAACTTGCCTTAAGGCTGCCTCTAAAATGGAAGCTCCATTTCTGTGGAGGAGAAAGTGTGCTGGAGAAAGGGGGAAAAGATGGTCTTCCTGAGGTTAAGACGGCCAAACAGTTTTAGACATGGGAGCTCCTGACATACAGACCAGCAGTGCTTGGACTTACTCCTTGACCGTTATCAAGAAGTAACGTTGCTGTTAGTCTGTGACCCAAAGTAAGCTTCAAAATCACTGGCCTGTGAGATTATCCAGGCTCTGCTGTCTGAGACTCAATTTTCCAAATGCCTCTCAGAAATAGAGCAGAAAGGAAGCAGAGACCCAAGCGCTCAGTTATATTGAAGTCCCAGAGCTAAGCAAACAGCTCGGCTACCTCCTGCTAGGCACCTCCACAGCCACAGGGCTCAGAAACATTTCCCAGGCAAAGCAGATTAGCAGAAAACCCAATGAGTTTCTTTCTGGCCTGAAAGACCAGCTCCTATGTTCCACCTCTTCTCTATCTGCTCAAAGCCACTTTACCTGCAGCGCCTGGAATCGGCTCCCTTCCGTCCAGTTGTAACCCACATTTGATGCTTTCTTAGACATCCAGGGAGGGGGTAGCATTGTTAAGAACACAAAGAGAGGCCCAGCTACTACCTGCCAACAGGAGCTGGTGGAAGAGCAGCTGGTCTGCATTTTCCCTGCAAAGACTTGGCAAAAGGCAACAGAGCCCAGGGAAAGTGGAAGAGATGCAGGCTAGACATGAGAAAGGACTTCCTGACTCAGACAACTGTTAGGTCCCTGAAGGAATATTATGGTCTGCCCCACTCTCCCTGATACTCTCGTTTGTCCAGATTCAACAGAAATTCAGCCGTAAAAGCACCTTCTCTTAAGTTAGCCTCAGAAATCTGGGATGTGTGTCTATACCTAGTGGTCCTCTCTCTTGCTGATAGCTTGGGTCAGCAGTGGGTAGAGCCAGTGAGACTCAAATCCCTGGTCACTAGAACATAGTGTGTGAATGACTTGGTGATGCTTATCTTTAACATCCCCTGACAAGTTGTATCTGGCCTGCACTGGTGGATAGAATGAATCCATTCACCCATCGCACAAATAGATCGTCACTCAATACTGCCACATACACAACTCTGGGGTAGAAGCATAGGCGAGCAAACTTTGCCCTCCCTGCCCTCAAGACCTTCACGGATGAATGTGGGGAGATACACACATGGACAGTGCAGTTAATCCTAAAATAGAGAGGGGCACAAGACACTGTGAGGCCATAAATACCTCAGCAGGTATAAGAAAAGATTTACCAGAAGAGGTGACATTTTGATCTGGGTTTTGAAGATCATGTAGGAGTTTGCCTAGAAGAAAGTTGGGGAAAGCATTATAGTCTTAAAAGAAACTGGGAGGGCTGACAAACTATGTTTCTTTTTGTTACTAAGGATTATTATTTGATTGCTGAGATTGTCTTTGGTGCTAATTCCACCTGAGATACTTTGAGTCTTGACACCATTCTAAAAGCCCCATACATAATAACCCTCCTAAGTGGAAATGTTCCCCTAGATTAGTAAGAAGGTGCTATTTGTTCATTCTTCCCACAAAACCTTAGGATTTGACTCAAGCCCTTCTCTGCTTCCTTTCTTATTAAGCACCTATTTCTCTTGCCAGCCTGATTTGCTTTCCTAAGGGGTAGGAGTAGAACTGTGTCATGCTTGGAGGTAGAATGTCTATTTT